TCCCGGAGAAGGAATGAGAACTATTCCTGAAAAAGTGTTGGAAACTAAACCCCGGAGAAGGAATGAGAACTTTTCCTGAAAAGGGTTGGAAACTAAACCCGGGAGAAGGAATGAGAACTATTCCTGAAAAAGTGTTGGAAACTAGATCCCGGAGAAGGAATGAGAACTATTCCTGAAAAGGGTTGGAAAATAAACCCCGGAGAAGGAATGAGAACTATTCCTGAAAAATGGTTGGAAAATAAACCCCAGAGAAGGAATGAGAACTATTCCTGAAAAAGGGTTGGAAACTAGATCCCGGAGAAGGAATGAGAACTATTCCTAAAAATAGTGTTGGAAACTAGACGTTGGATTAAGAATAAGAACTAAAACTAAAAAAGATTGAAAACTAGACCCGGAGAAAAAATGAGAACTATTCCTGAAAAGGGTTGGAATCTATGACCCCGAATGAGAGCTACTCCTTAAAAAAGGGTTGGAAACTAGATCCCGGAGAAGTAGTGATAATTAGACCAAAAAAAGGGCTGGAAACTAGACCCCGGAGAAGTAGTGATAATTAGACCAAAAAAAGGGCTGGAAACTAGACCCCGGAGAAGGAATGAGAACTACTCCTTAAAAAAGGGTTGGAAACTAGATCCTGGAGTAGGAATGAGAACTACTCCTTAAAAAAGTGTCGGTAACTGATCCCGGAGAAGTAGTGATAATTAGACCAAAAAAGGGTTGGAAACTAGACCCTGGAGAAGGAATGGAAGCTGGATTCTAAAGAAGGTATGCAAAAAAAATCCGGGTTCGGAGAAAGAAAGAAAACCGGAATCTTTCAAGAATGTTCTTAATATTTTCCAATTAAATTATTACTAAGGATTTATTAGTCTGAGCTAATTAAAGAGAGAAATCTTGCTGAGATTTGCACCAGAATTTGTGGAATTGTTTCTCAGGATAAATTCTTAGAAATCTAACTTTTTCGACGTTAATTCTGCTGACTTAGAGTTTCAAATTAAAAAAATTTGAACGCGTCGATTGAAAGATTACGCATACATATGTAACACACTACAACGCTATAGAACTCAAATGTAAATACTTCTCGGGTTTCAATACACATGGGATTCAAAAGAAAAGAGAAAATTCATTAATTTCATTTTCTCAAATAAAACAGGTTTTTTATTCATTTTCTTTAATATCCCCGTCTGGCATATGAATAATTTTCTACCAAATGTATTTTGCTGTTTTTGTATACAATAGAATACAAAGCGATAATACACAATACCAAATACCTATATTTGCAATCTAAAACTTCCTCAATCAATCTTTATCAATATCCTGGAAGCAGGAAGTGCCTATAGAGTAGGTTTGACCAAATAGTTAATGATCTGAAATATATTTTTGATGCTGTTGAGATATTTATAACCATAAATCAGAGATGAAGAATTGTGACAGGAGGAATAATCTAGTAATCTCCAGAGTTCAATATAGTTACTTGTATTTCCAAGTTCAATATTGTTCCTTGTATCTCCAGGTTCAATAATGTTCCTTGTATTTCCAAGTTCAATATTGTTCCTTGTATCTCCAGGTTCAATACTGTTCCTTGTATCTCCAGGTTCAATGATCTTCCTTTAATCTCCAGGGTTTAATATAGTTACTTGTATCTCCAGAGTTCAATATAGTTCTTGTATCTAGGTTCAATAATGTTCCTTGTATCTCCAGAGTTCAATATAGTTACTTGTATTTCCAAGTTCAATACTGTTCCTTGTATCTCCAGAGTTCAATATAGTTACTTGTATCTCCAGGTTCAATATTGTTCCTTGTATCTCCAGGTTCAATAATGTTCCTTGTATCTCCAGAGTTCAATACTGTTCCTTATATCTCCAGTGTTCAATACTGTTCCTTGTATCTTCAGGGTTCAACATTGTTCCTTGTATCTCCAGGGATCAATATTGTTCCTTGTATCTCCATGGTTCAAAACTGTTTCTTGTATCTCCAGGGTTCAATACTGTAACTTGTTTCTCCGGGGTTCAATACTGTTCCTTGTATCTCCAGGGTTTAATTCAGTTCCTTGTATCTCCAGGTTCAAGATAGAGGTTGTATCTGCAGGATTAATATTGTTCTTTGTATCTCCAGGGTTGTTTCTCCTGTGTTCAGTGCTGTTCCTCATATCTCTATGGTTTAGTCTCCTCTATATTTTATATTTCATATATCATTGTTAATCCCTTATATCTCCGGTACTCTGCACCCTGCTGAAACAAGTTATCTTTGACAAATTGGACAATTTGTAGAGAAAACCACAACTAAAAACGAGCGGTAAATTACTGGCTATTGTTGCGATTAAGTTGAGAAAGATGCGTGGAGAAATGAGCTCAGTAAAATAACTACCCGGAGAGGCACGAACTAGATGGTTTTTGAAGAATATTGAAATAGCTCAGGTTGGTTTACTCCGAGATACTAAAATCCATCAATTTTATTTTCCGCTTCGAATCTGATATTCAATCTCTCCAATAAACCTCAATCTGCAAGGTTAAATCCTTTGTATCTCCAGGTTTCAGATTTATCTCTCATCTTTACGGTTTCAAACCTCACGTATTTCTCGTCTTCTCGCCCAATTATTTTCATTCAGTGTTCATCTTGCAATCTTCTCAGGACTATATACTTTCATAAACATCATGCAAAGTTCCTAAAAGGAATTAAGTCTTTGTATTAAACTCAAGTTTTCAAATCCCTTTATCTGTGGAACCTGATGGTGTAAACCTTTGCTATTTCAAACTTAGACTTGCTGATCTTACAGAATTTATAGTTTGAAATATCTAAGGTATACGATATTGGATTGTTATGAAGTAGGGATTAGAAAATTTAGAGTTTTTGGCCAAGACTCAAATTCTTCTCAAGCTCTTGGAAAATCTAAAAGTTGCAAGTTGAAGATATGGCTGAAGATTTTTTAATTATTCTTGTTCTTTTAGAAAAGATTGTCAACATAATTAAACGTAACCCATGAAACAAAGTTTTTAAAGAGCTTAATATCGCTCAAGGAGAATATTTACATAAAGTAAAGTAATCGGGTCTTTACCACAAACTTTGATTTTCTAATCCCTAAAATTGTCCAACCCAACGTGCGTTGTAGACCTTAGATATTTACAACTATGAATTTTGTTATGTTTGAAATATCAAAGTTTTACCCCATCAGGTTGCAAATATATAGGAATTAGACCATTTGAGTTTGTGGCAGCGGTTCAATGTAAAATGTACAGAATTTTTACATATTCACTGTTAAAAAGTAAATATACTTTAAAAAGGAAAAGACCCCAGCTCCAGAACTATGCAGATAATAGAGGGTTTGTTTGCTATGTAAACAGTATTTTTACAATTCATCTAAACAATTTCTTATTCTTTGCTTTGAGCATTATATCGTCTCATTCACTTCCTCGCCATTAGTTAGAACTCTTACAAAGATAATGGTATAAAGGAATATAGAAAAAGTAATTTGATAAAGGAAAAAAGGTAATGTAATAAAGTAATAGAACAAAAGCTAATATGTAATAAAGGAATAGAAAGAAGCTGATATGATAAAGGAATAAAAGAAGGTTAATATGATAAAGTAATAGAAGAATGGTAATGTAATAAAGGAATAGAAGAAAGCTAATATTAGAAAGGAATAAAAGAAAGGTAATGTACTAAAGAAATAGAAGAAAGGTAATGTGATAAAAGAATAGAAGAAAGGTAATGTGATAAAGAAATAGAGGGAAAGTTAAATGATAAAGGAATAGAATAAATGAAATGAGATAAAAGAATAGAAAAAAGGTAATGTGATAAAAGAATAGAAAAAAGGTAATGTGATAAAAGAATAGATGAAAGGTAATGTGATAAAGGAATAGAAGAAAGATCATGGGACAAATGAATAGAAGAAAGGTAATGTGATAAAGGAATAGAAGAAAGATCATGGGACAAATGAATAGAAGAAAGGTAATGTAATAAAGGAATAGAATAAAGGTAATAATAGAAAGGAATATAGAAGAAAAGTTTTAGTTTGAAAAGGAATAGAAGAAAGGTTTTAGTTTGAAAAGGAATAAAATTAAGGTTTTAGTTTGAAAAGGAATAGAAGAAAGGTAATATGATTTTTTATTAAGCCCTTAGCTTAGAAAGTAATTAAGTTCCAAATATTGAGAAGAGAAAGAAAGAGATTCTATGAAGATAAACTATAAAGTGGTATAAAATCCAACTGCCTGTAAAACTGGCACTCCTACTTTATATTACCAGGCTCTAGCATGAGCTAAGTTTAGGTTTTGCAACCATAGTATCTAGGTGTAACTTAGTATACTGCAGTCTGCACAGATCCTATCTGAAAACAGGTTCCCTGGCTTGAATTCAACAAATTAATATACTAGAACAATGTTGCCGAAATATATTCAGTTCAAAACTTAATTAACATTAAAATAATTAAAATGCATAATACATCACCAAATGTATAATTACAATATATATCAAAGAAATCATAAGTTTTTAATAACAAACCATGGTTCTTCTTAGATTTTTAAACCTCCATTCTACAATGTTCATTTTTGAACTCAAGTACATAAGTTATAACTTTTACATAGTCCCATGAACATTAGACACATGGCAATAGTGCAGTGTAAACAGACAACAAAATCTGAATAAGTCATTTAATGAGTTACCTATAAAACTTTTTGCTTTTTAACAACTTCAAATTTACAAGAGTATTGCTATATTGTCGTCTTCCTAGTCGACAGTTCTCTGGTTCGCACTGAATGAATTAAATGTATGTGGTCTAGTTCATTTTAAATGTTTTGTTCTGTATCTCCANACCAAGTTGAACCAATTACAGCCGGGGTTTCTACCCGGTAAAACCTACGGACGCTAGCAACAACGGTTCCTCAGGGTTAAACGGGAGTTTGAACCGCAGAAACCGGTTACACGCTTGCGTAATTATTCGGCATTTACTCTACGGAGTCGTTCTCAACTTTCCTAGTTTCTACGCGGAAGTTACCTGAGCAGTCTCCACCGGTCCCAAAGCGTTTAGTTCGCCGTAGAGTGTGGACAGTGTTGTGTGAGCCAATACGAACAGTACAAGTGTACTTTATAATATACTGTCAGAGAACACAGCATATTAGTAATATTCAAGTGTTTAACAAGTGCTTCAATATCTACAAATCATTAATCCAAAGGTAAAATAATTACTAATCTGAATCAGTGTCTTCCTACATCGTAGAGTTAGTGAAAATTGTCTGAGAGTTGTTAGAGCTAAGTTAATTGATGAGATCCATCAAAGGTTGAAATTAAAATTTCACAGGTTTGAGAAAAAATGAGTTCCCAAGACAATTCAATATAAGTTCATTTGTTAAAGGGCACCTACGCTAAAAGGTTTAATTCCGTAGTTCCTCTTCCATTTCCTGGCTTTATATTTCTTGCGTAGACAATTTACAGTGAGGACAGAAAAAGATTTATTTGTTTTGCTAAAACTACTTTGAAACTAGTTTCCCTTCTTTCCGGGTTATATCTTATGTTTTGTTTTTTGCTCAACAAACTTATCTTAATCATTTTACTCATGAGCTTGGATTTTTGAGAAATGAGATAAACTCAAGAAGATTAACGGTTGTAGTCTCCACGAGTTTCCTGATATTCCCTGATATCCCTGATATGCCATAAGGCTGCAGTACACACAGTACTGCAGTATGCAGATCAGGGGCTCCACAACCTGATATTTCTTGATTTCCCTGAGGTTTCTTGATTTCTCTGATGTGTCTTGATTTCTCTGATATTTCTCGATTTTTTAGATATTTCTTTTAATTTATCTGATGTTCCTTGATTTCCCTGATATTTCTTCATTTACTTGATATTTCTAGATTTCTCTGATGTTTCTTGATTTCTCTGATATTTCTTGATTTCTCTGATATTCCTTGATTTCCCTGATATTTCTTGATTTCTCTGATATTCCTTGATTTCTCTGATATTTCTTGATTTCTCTGATATTCCTTGATTTCTCTGATATTCCTTAATTTCTCTGATATTTATTGATTTCTCTGATATTCCATGATTTCTCTGAAATTTCTCGATTTCTCTGATATTTCTTGTTTTCCCTGATATTTCTTGATTTCCTTGATATTTCTCTTGATTTCCTTGAAATTTCTCTCGACTCCCAGATATTTCCCTTGATTTCCCAGATATTTCTTGATTTTTCTGATATTTCTCTTGATTTCCTTGATAATTCTCTTTCTTTTCATGATATTTCTCCTGATTTCCCAGATATTTCTCTTGATTTCCCTGATATTTCAATATTAACTTGCTATTTCAAAATTTCCCTGACGTAATAATCCTTGATATCCATGAATTTTCTTGATTCCTTTATTTTTCTTGATATTCCTGATATTTCACGATTTCCCTGAAAGTAACCCCTCCCCCCCCCCTCCTACGCGTTGTTCTTCTTACTAAAGTTTTAGTATCAATTTGAAAGAAAATGCCAAGGTTGCTTGAAGGTGTAATTTTATCATCTTATCTTGAGAATCTTTTGTTTTTATTTTTCGTCTTAATATTCCTAGTTTGCGAATTTTATGCGGAATATTCGCAGAGTTCCGGGATAAAAAACAGCTTCTTGCATTTATGAATATTTTAGTAAAATAAACATGGGAAAGGTTTATGTCTTGCATAACTGTTCAAAAGAATTGTATTTTTTCACTCTTTCATATTTCGTGAGGACTTTTTTCCGTTTTGAAGTGTAGTCAGCATTCACAAGCTTTTCATTGATGCATTTTTGTTGTTAAAGTTTAAAACTGGTATTTTTACAGTTGAACAATTAAATGTTTAACATGTGTTTAAATCTTCAGTATTCGGGTCAATTTTTCATAAATAATAGTTTCTGCTTTGAAGAATGTAATAACTTGTAGTTAATGATGGAAGAGCCCCCAGGTCTCTAGGTTACCTATTTTCTGCTCAAACCATTATATTTTTGGTCCTTTAATAAACTAGGAATTAGTTCAAGTCCGTTTCTGTATACTGTATGGAGATTGAAGAATGTGGATGGTGGGGGGTCCGGCCCCTTTTATCGAATTTTGATAATCCTTTAAATGAACCTAATGGCTTGTTTAATTTTATTAAAAAGTCGATAATTTTAGATTAAACATAACAATAAAATCTAAATCCTGATAAACCAATGTTGTATCTAAGCTCCGGGTGGGGTCTCTACCCTGCCAAAAAGTTCTCTAGTTTGATGGATATAAATTATAGGTTGGCACAACCTGCAATACATGCAGTTAGACTGCAAAAGGTAGGTTTAAAGGTTAGCTTTAGATCACGAGATTCTGCAACTAAAATCTGTAATAATCTTCTAAAAAAAGTTAAAAAATGTTTTTAAAGTTTCTCTCTCCAGGTGCACAGTAACACTATACAGTATGGTTGGTTGGTATAGATCGGTTGTATAACAATCAATCAATCAATCAATCCTTTATCTTAAAATCATTGACACATGTCACATGCTTTCCGACCCCCTGAACAGATCTTTATTATGCAATAACTTTGCAGTTATGGATCAATCGACATTTATTCGGATTTTATACATTTTTAACTTCTCTGTCCGGATTGTGGCCATTTTATTCAATTTCAGTTAATTTTTTAGGTTTAGGATTTTATTTCTTGGAGTTTCAACCTTTTTTCGGAAATTTTCTTGACTTTTTATGTCTCTTGAGCTTGCATAATTATACATGAAACCTTCTCTGGGTATTGATGAGACCTGGGGCGAGGTTTAATTTTAGAATGATTATACAATGGTTTAATTTAAACCCCTAAACCTCTTGTGAAACCCACTCCTCCTGGTTTTTACAGACTAAACACATTTAAACTCTCACTCTGTATTAAGATTTAGAAACGTCTAATTAAAACTAATCTGATTGCATTTATAAATACATTTCTAATTTGGTCTCTAGAGACAATTGAGCTGAGTTTATGAATGATATTGTAATATCTATACTGAACTTAAGGTTGGAATATTGAACTTAAGTTCTATATTTTGGGGACTTAATGATGCTTTCGTACTATACAAGATTTATTAAATTTCATACCGAGATACCAATCAAATCTCAGAGATTCCATTCCAAGGCATGCATTTTTCAGTTTTTTTTTCGCAACCTGAATTCTTACGTCATAGTACGCTAGATTTTCATATCTAAATGTAAGCATATAAAGATTTGAATTGCTAGAGGTTTGGGTTTATTGTTATACGGCAGTTATATATGTTTTGCATAATAAACTCTTAAAATTTAAATATTAGGATAAAAGATACAGAACTTGTCTGATATAAACTGGAGAAATATCCTTGAAATCCAGGACGGTCCATAGATTTTTCTCTCATGCATATCAACACAGTACATAACTTACAAAAAGTAAAATGTTTTTATTCAAATCATTAAAAAATAAGTTTTCCCATATTTATTGTTTTGGTTCTATTAACTTGCTATTTCAAAATTTCCCTGACGTAATAATCCTTGNGGTTCTGATCTATTTTTTGAAAGATTTCCAAGTCTGGTGGGTCAACGAAGATCCGATAAAATTGAATGAATCAATCAATTTATCGATATTAAATTCGTCTCAGGCGACTTCTACATTTTTCATCATCAAGTTTTCTATCTATAATCTCTCCGCACCTTATAGGGTAGGAGACTGTGAACTGGTTTGTCTACTCTCTGATAGGGTTCAATTAATCTATTCCTGCTCAGGGTACAATTTTAGTACAGGATTTTTTTCTCTGATATTGGGTGTAGTGCGGATTGATCTGGTCGGTTTTAGATCCGGGTTGGGTTAAGTTTAACTTCTGAAGGTCCGTGTATCTCTAGTATCTACAGATGTTTGTAACGGATGCGTGTAACCCTACTAAAATATAGAATTCCAATTGAAAACGCTATGTGTGAGAAGTTTGATGTTCTCGTCCTTCCATCTTTTTATTTCTCCAAGATATTCAAACCTTTCATCCTTGTCTCAGGGCGGTAAACTGTCTGATCCCAGACATCAGACAAGCCTGTCCTATCCTGGATACATGGATACTTGCCCTGTCCTGGATACATGGATACTTGCCCTATCCTGGATACATTGATACATATCCTAAACTGGATTCACGTATACCTGTCCTATCCTGGATACATTGATACCTTTCCTATCCTTGATTCAATGATACCTGTCCATATCTTGGATACATGGTTACCTTTCCTATTCTAGAAACATGTCCTATCCTGGATAACTGGATCCATGTCCTATCCTGGATACACTGAGACCTTTCCTATCCTGGATGCATGGAAACATGTCTTATCCTGGATACATGGATACTTGACCTATCCTGGATACATTGATACATATCCTACACTGGATACACGTATACCTGTCCTATCTGGATACATGGATACCTGTTCTATCCTGGATACATGGATACCTTTCCTATCCTGGATACATGGATACCTTTCCTATCCTGGATACACGGATACCTGTCCTATCCTGGATTCATGGATACCTTTATATTCTGGATACATGGATACCTGCCCTATCCTGGATACATGGATACCTTTCACATCCTGGATACATGAACACCTGTCCTATCCTGGGTACACGGATACCTTTCCTATCCTGGATACACGGATACCTGTCCTATCCTGGTTATGTAGATGCCACACACATATTGCTGTTGATATTTCTCAAACTAGTTCCTTTAATGTTTAGGGATACATTGTTAATGAGTTGACCCATACTTGATCAGCTCTGTCCAAGTTTCAATATTCTTTTGTTAATATTATCAACTAAACCCAATTAGTAAATATATACATTCGTGGAAATGTGACTCACCATAGAATTGAAGGTTCTGAATAGTGTTAAATTGGTCCATATTGATTAATGTGCTAGATTACCTAGGTACTTTAGAACCATGCTTTCATTTTATACAACGTTTTATACTTCATTTTATACACGTTTTATACTTCATTTTATACAACGTTTTATGTCACATTTTATGTCACGTTTTATACCAGACATTTGAAAAGACATAAAAGGGAGAAGGTGTGGTGATATTTTTTATTTCAATTTGGTAAAAATTAGTATTTTCTAGTTTTTTCCTGGGGATATCTGAAGGGGGTATGGAATAGAGTTTTACCACTTCAGTATGTTTGGCTATTGTTGGAGAACAAAAAAACTTGTTTTTCTCTGAATGGATTTTTCTTGTATTATCCCTTTACATTTCATTGATAGAATATTTAGATATATTGGCATATTAGAATAAATTTAGATATATTGGTATATTGGGATATATTTAGATATATTGGTATATTGGGATATATTTAGATATATTGGTATATTAGGATATATTAAGAGATATTGGTAAATTGGGATATATTTAGATATATTGGAATATTGGGATATATTTAGATATATTGGTATATTGGGATATATTTAGATATATTGGTATATTGGGATATATTTAGATATATTAAAATATTGGGATATATCCACGATATTGGTGTATTGGGAAATATTTTAAAATATTAACATATCTGATATATAAAGACTCGTAATGTATCTTTGTAAATATCTAGATATATTGGCTGTATTTATATAAATAAAGATATATTTGTATATATTTAGATACACTTGATATATTCAATATTCATTTTAGATGTGAATCAATAGATGTGCAGATAGATAGATTGTTTTGAATAGATAGATAGATATACTATGTTAATTTCCCTAATGACTGTACTACCCTCATATTCTTCTATATCAGGGCTAATAGTTTACTAGAGAACAATATATATAATATATTCTCTTTTCTTATTCTCCTTTAATAATACCACTAGAAAAAGGGCTTTTTTCAATAAAACAAATAAAAAGACCAAGGAACTGAGTTTTTGCAGCAAACCTTTGCTATTTCAAGCAGAATTCAAAGTTTGGAATATCTAAGGTCTACAACATTGGGTTGCAAAGATATAAGGATTAAAAAATCAGAGTTTGCGGCAAAAACTCAGGCGCGTCAGGAATGTAGTGAATGTAAGAAAAGATCGAATTCTATGATTTCTCATTCTTTGTGGGTAAACCCGGTATAAACATTTTTATTTATCGTACTTTTCTTCATAATGTTTACTATAAGAGATGTACATTGATTTTTAAGATTAAATTTAAAATGTGAAATTTTTCTTGAAACTATAAGTAAGATTATTTTACATATCAATTTATGATTAAAATTAATTGCTTTTGCTAACTTATGCCAATTATTTCATTATTTACGAGTTTTTAAATATATATTTGTTAAATCTAATAAATTTTTATTTATTTTTCTATCATTAATTTCAATGACAGATCAAATTGTTTTTTGTTTCATTATTCATTCTGCTAGACCATGTAGAGAACTTTTTTGCGCACGAAATGCTATTTAAACATTTAAACATATGTAATGTATAAAAAAATTGTACTTCTGCTGAGAAGAATGTTTAAAAAGATTTGAATATAAAATGATGATGCAATGAGAACTGCATTACACATTAGAAAAAAATGTTAAATTTTAAAGCTTTATGTTGATTGAAATCAAACTTTTTAAAATTTAACTTCCAAATATGCATTTAGAGTATCTTGTTTTCGTTTATTTAAGTACTTTTATTGATTAAAATCAAAGAAAATTGATCTCTTATGCAATGATTTATTTAAAACTGAGTCCCTAAATATTACAAAATTTTGTCGTCTTGTGTACATTTTTGAATAAAAATAAAATAATAATATACATATATCTTGCAGAAATGAAGTAGAAATATATAATTAGTGTGAACTGACCAAATTCATTTGTCAAGTAAGGTATTTCAATGATAATCAACGACCCTTATTTATCTTACCCCTACCCCTCCCATCTTCTTTACCCCTGGATACATGGATACCTTTCCTATCCTGGATACACGGATACCTGTCCTATCCTGGTTATGTAGATGCCANTCCCAACAAGCATTACATGGTGATAAGAAGTGTGTTCTAATCTTCAACCTCATGTCTTAATAGTAGTAATTTAGTACACTTTTCATTTGCAGTACACTCGTCATATTAAGTACCTCCCTCATTTTCAGTACACTTTATATATTCAGTACACTTAATATTCACTACACTTTACATATTCAATACACTTTTCATTTGCAGTACACTCGAATATCATATTTAGTACACTTTTCATATTCAGTACACTCTTCATCTTAAGTTCACTTTTCATTTGCAGTACACTTTTCACAATTAGAACACTGTTTAGTGTTCATATTCAGTACATACTTCATAGTCATATCCACCAGGNTTGGGAATTAACCTATTGTACACGAATTAACTTACTTTAATCTTTCAGTTGGGAATTAACCTATTGTACACGAATTAACTTACTTTAATCTTTCAGTTGGGAATTAACCTATTGTACACGAATTAACTTACTTTAATCTTTCAGTTGGGAATTAACCTATTGTACACGAATTAACTTACTTTAATCTTTCAGTTGGGAATTAACCTATTGTACACGAATTAACTTACTTTAATCTTTCAGTTGGGAATTAACCTATTGTACACGAATTAACTTACTTTAATCTTTCAGTTGGGAATTAACCTATTGTACACGAATTAACTTACTTTAATCTTTCAGTTGGGAATTAACCTATTGTACACGAATTAACTTACTTTAATCTTTCAGTTGGGAATTAACCTATTGTACACGAATTAACTTACTTTAATCTTTCAGTTGGGAATTAACCTATTGTACACGAATTAACTTACTTTAATCTTTCAGTTGGGAATTAACCTATTGTACACGAATTAACTTACTTTAATCTTTCAGTTGGGAATTAACCTATTGTACACGAATTAACTTACTTTAATCTTTCAGTTGGGAATTAACCTATTGTACACGAATTAACTTACTTTAATCTTTCAGTTGGGAATTAACCTATTGTACACGAATTAACTTACTTTAATCTTTCAGTTTGGAATTAACCTATTGTACACGAATTAACTTTCAAGATGGGAATTAATCTTTTTGCAGGAATAAGTTTATTAAAATCCTTCATTTTAACCTTTAATTTGGGAATAAACTTTTTACAAAAAAAAATATTCATTTACACCCTGTATTTTGGAATAAAACTTTATAAAGGAATATCTTATTAAAATTTACCGTATTGTACCGGACCGTGGCATTTAACGTACTTCATCATCATTATTGAATTTTATCCCTATAATTTATAATTTAATAAATGTTTTTCTTTTATTAATTTTTTAATTTCTGCTCTGTAAATTCTAACCTTTGATTTGACAAGGGAAATATTTTATCCTTTCAATAGGATCAAAATGCATTCAGTTCAAAATATATTTTTTTTTATGATATTCATTGAATCGGAAACAGTTATTCAGTTAGTCTGTTCATAATATCAGTTTATTGTGAGTTTTATTTTTTAACGTTTACAGATTTCAATCAAATCTAAATTGATGTTTAAACGATAAAAAAAATCCTGATTTAAGTGGTCTAGAACATATTTGAATTGGATTTCGTGGATTTTTTAGTTTTTAAATATAAAGTAAAAAATGGACGATGTGATTTGTAAAGACCAACATATTAGTTATATAGCTCTCACACTTGTATCCTTAATTCTCATCATTGTTTAATTATTAAAATCCTTAATGTTTTCTACTTATTGAAGTTTACTGCTTCAGTAGTACTCGAAGATCAGGTTTCATCTTTAATTCATTGTTCTCTCTGTTCAGGTTGGATACCGGAGCTAAATCCTGCAGGAGTTTAAACCCTACTCCGTGGATCTATGTGTTCCACCTATATGGAGTGAATCCGAAGTGTGTACAGGATGAAGATCAACATGCTGTTGTTGTGTCTACTCGGAGTAGTGTCCCAGGTCAGCTCTCAGTGTTCCCAACCTAGCTTCAAGGATGATTCTATTAGCAGGGTTGAGGCAGGGTTTAAAACTATCCGGAAACGAGGAAAAATTACTTTTGATTACAGAAAGATTGAAGTTATCTACTCTCCGTTCTTGATGGTGAATGATCCAAACTGCATTGAGGAGAGTCAACTGAACCTTGAGGTTAAATCTGGCTCCGGAGACTGGATTGCAATGGAAGATACTCCAGTTGCTCTAGGTGGAGGAAAGTATAGATGGACAATAGATGCAGTTCCCTGCAAGGATCATCTCATCAAGTTCTGGGTAAACGGACCCGGAGGACAAGCCGCCCTGGAGTATTCTGAACCCATCCTTGCCGCTTCAGAGCTAGATATCATCGAATCTAAGTTTACTCCGGAGAAACCTAAAGGACTGAAGATCTCTCATCTCGGAGAAAACTCTGTTGAAGTGTCCTGGGAACCTGCAGACTGTGCAACATCATATGATATCAGTTATGGTAAAATTATCTCTGGAGAGAGGAAAACCAAGATTGTTCCTGCGTCTCAGGGAAGCCATATTATTCTCTCCGAAGGGATTGAACCCTGCACAGAGTACTCAATTAACATATTCTCAGTAGTAGGAGAGGAAGAGTATAGCGCTGATGAAGCATCTGAAACATTTACAACCCCTCCTGATGCATCTTCTGCTTCCTCCCTGGAACCTGAGATTACAAGAGAAACGAACTCCATGTCCGCCAAGTGGAGACCCTTCGACAAGCTCTCCTGTGTCGACAAGTACGCTGTATCCGTTTGCAAGGAGAAGGAAGACTGCATGGAAACCCAGGAGGTCGAGAAGAATGATGCTCTGGACTATCTCAAGTATGAAACTGCCAATCTTGATCACTGTTCTCCTTACACTCTCCAGATCCAACCTCTTTACGGAGAAAAGAGCCTTGCTCCCAAAATTGTAGATTTCCGAACCTTATCTCCTCCTGCTGAAGGTATCTCTGAGAGTCTGCTCCCTGTATCTGCTAAGGCTGGAGAAGGACAGAAAATCTATGTGAGCTGGTCTGCGGTCCAATGTGCTGAATACTACGAGGTATTCCAGAAAGTGAACTCAGTCGGAGGAGACTGGGAATCTGTGATGAAGACGACTGAGAGCAGTGTCAAGCTGAGCGGAGTTCCTTGTACAGAATACAGATACGGAGTTCAGGTCACTATTGACGGAGCCAAGAGTGAGGTTATGGAGTTCCCAGATGCAGTGATGACCCAGCTGGATGATTCCGCTCCGTTTGTTGCTCCCAACCTTGAGATTGAACCTATGACTGACGGTGCTGTGCTGACCTGGGACCACGGAGCCTGTATCTCCAGTTATATTGTGAAAGCCTGTTCTATCCACAGCGACCACAACGACGTGATGTGTGAGGAGGAAACTATTATGAGGGATTCAACTGTTCACAATGTTACTCACGAGATACACAACCTTAAACCCTGTCATGCCTACACCCTGGAGATTCTTCCCCAGATCTCAGGAGCTTCCTTCGACCCTGATACAACCGAGTTTAAGACAGCTTTCCCAGCTCCTTCTCCTCCTACTGAGTTCTCAGCTGAGTACAAGAAATCCAGTAACAAGGTTGAGCTTGAGTGGAGTGAGGTTGAGTGCGCTAGCGGATACAAAATTATCCAGATGATTGGAAACTCGGAAACTACAACAGCTTGGGAGACAGATAACCCTAGACAGCTCTTCACAACCCTGGAGAGTCCTGAACCATGCGTAACCTACAGGGAAATTATTCCCCCCCCCCCCATCATCGTCAAGTTCAGTTAAATTGCAAATACAATTAAACCAACCTTTTATATAAAATGGGTTTCGTGACGGGGCCGTATATCTAGGTATCTGTTTGTTTTGTAAGATTGTATCTTCTGAATTAAAAACTGTAAATCAATGTTGAATGTGCATAACCTGGACTGTATATCAGGTTCCCCTTTGTATTTAAAGTTTTAATATTTCATGCAGCAAAACATATATCTAGCTAAAAACAACACACAGTTGGGGGGAGGGGGGGGGGGGGCATTTTATCATAACTCAATACTCACTACTCAGGGTATCAAATAGCTCAGGTGTCCAATATCTTTTAGAAAAGTATCTAGTTTTGACATTTTAAATCATTCTTTATATTGTTTCAACTATGCTTTTTTAACTTTTTAACGTTTGAATGTAGGAATCAATCTTGTGCATGCCTATGCCTTAAGACCTTGAATTATAATCTGCATAATGCATAATATCTATATGCATGTAAATACAGAGTGGGTTTGAGAGGGTGCAGGTTGGAGTTGGATAGGTTTTGGTTCAGGATTTAATGAAATAGATACATAGGTTTAGCATGGAATAGGTTCGGGTTGGAATGGAATTTAGATTCAGGATTAGGATTGAGATAAATGGATCCAGGCCGAGGACTGAACGGAATTTGGTTCAGGTTCAGGATCAGGATGGAGCGGAATAAGTTCAGGTTCGGGATGGAGTGAAATAGGTTCAGGATGTAGTAGAATAGGTTCAGGATAAGGATTGAGTGAATTAGGTTCAGAATGGAGTGGAATAGGTTCAGGATCAGGATGGAGCGGAATAGGTTCAGGATGGAGCTGAATATATTTAGGTTCGGAATGGAGTGGAATAGATTAAGGTTCAGGGCTGAGTGGAATAGATTTGGGTTAAGGATGGAGCGGAATAGGTTCAGGATAAGAATTAAGTGAATTAGGTTCAGGATGGAGTGGAATAGGTTCAGGATCAGGATGGAGCGGAATAGGTTCAGGATGGAGTCGAAAAGGTTCAGGATCAGAATGGAGCTGAATAGATTTAGGTTCGGAATGGAGTGGAATAGATTAAGGTTCAGGGCTGAGTGGAATAGATTTGGGTTAAGGATGGAGCGGAATAGGCTCAGGTTCAGGACGGAGCGGAATATGTTTAAGATTAGGATAAATTGGAATAGGTTCAAGATTAGAATAAATTGGAGTAGGTTCAAGATTATGATAAATTGGAATAAGTTCAGGATTAGGATGGAGTGGAATAGGTTCAGGTTAAGAATGGAGTGGGAAAGGTTTGGGTTAAGGATGGCATGGTCTGGGTTCGTACTTAGGATGGAGGGAAAAGTTTCAGATTTAAGATGGCGTATAGAATGGAGTTGGATAGGTTTGAGTTGATGAAAATATTTGTAATTTTTGTCGTGAAAGCAAGAGCCGGAGAAGAAACGAAATTTTTCGCTCAAGTCCGACATAGAGATGGGTGAAACAGGTTGATTCTGACAAGTTAATAAGTTTGTTTGAGCTGAGAGAGTAAATTTGAGTTTTTATTTAATGTTACACTTTCCACCCTGAGCAATCCATCCCAAGATCTAGTCAACCCAACCCAACCAATTATAAAGAGATTAAAGGAAAATGCATGATCTTAATCTATCTTTATTAGAGTAATAGAAGATTACGGGTTTCCTCTTCATCAAATTTTGGTTAAATTCCTGCGTCCTGTACCTTGAGATTCCTAAACCTGATCATTAAAACATTATCCTTGCATTCTTCATCACAAAATATTTAGTGAAAACATTTATGCTAGATTTGTCTGGTAACCCTGTGGATTCCCAGGTATGCGTAGAGGTATGAGGAGAGAGTTCAGATTTGTTTTAAGACAGGAGAGAGAGAGAGAGAGAGTCGGATCAGTTTTAAGTCCTAAGAACGGTTGGGTCTGATCTTTGGCTATGCCTTGATAAGAATCATAGTTTCTAGAAACCAATGACCCTAGACCCTCCTGTATCTTGAATCCTGCTGGTTCTCTACAATCCATTTAATATTTTGCTCAAATTTAATGTCTATGTATATTGTAATCCCTCTGCTTCTATTGAATTGGACATGGAGCAAAACCTGGTAAATATTATAATATTTTTAGGTTTTATATCTATCTTAGAATTATCTTGAGATGAGATCACTCCCACATTCAGCAGAGTAGAGTTCTTATATCCCTCCGTCTTCCCTGCTTATATACCCTGATACACATTCATCCTAATCTATTCATCTTCCATACTCTCATCCATACCTTGATATACATTCATCTTCCATACTATCATCCATACCTTGATATACATTCATCCTAATCTTTTCATCTTCAATATTCTCATCCATACCTTGATATACATTCATCCTAATCTATTCAAACATTCATCTTCCATCCTCTCATCCAAACCCTGATACAAATTTGACGATCTAACAAGCTTTTATTCTACCCTGATTCACATTCATTCTAGTCTATTCAACCATTTATATTTGGCATTCATTCAGTCTTTCAACTATTCATTTAGTTTTAATCTATATTCATTACTTCCCCCCCCCCTCTTCCTCATGCAACTAACCCATACATTATGAGAATCTGTCTTGTAACCTATAATGTAACCTCTGCCCTGTCGGGTCTAGAAACTATTTTAATTAACATATACCGGCAATATATAATTGTTTTGGGGTTCAGTCAGGTTTAGGAATACTTTCTCGTTTATCTCAGGGTAGGATGTAGAGTAGAATGGAAATATTTTAGGTTCAGGTTCAGGAATACTTTCTCGTTTATTTCCGGGTAGGATGTAGAGTAGAATGGAAATATTTTAAGTTCAGATTCAGGAATACTTTCTCGTTTATCGTTTATCTCAGGGTAGAATGTAGAGTAGGATGGAAATATTTTGGTTTCAGGTTCAGGTATGCTTTCTCGTTTATCTCAGGGTAGGATGTAGAGTATGATGGAAACATTTTGGTTTTAGGTTCATTAATACTTTCTCATGTAGCTCAGGGTAGGATGAAGAGTAGAGTAGGAACATTTTGGTTTCAGATTCAGGAATAGTTTCTCATGTAGCTCAGGGTAGGATAAAGAGTAGAGTGGCAAACATTTTGGTTTTAGGTTCATGAATAGTTTCTCGTGTAGCTCATGGTAGGATGAAGAGTGAGGTGGCAAACATTTTGGTTTCAGATTCAGGAATAGTTTCTCATGTAGCTCAGGGTAGGTTGAAGAGTAGAGTGGCAAACATTTTGGTTTTAGGTTCATGAATAGTTTCTCATGTAGCTCAGGGTAGTTTGAAGAGTAGGATTAAGACATTTTCGGTCCCTGCTTATAGGTCAGAAGTGAACAAAGCCTAAAATGAGTTGATTTTGTGCACTAGAATCCTCTTTGTGGTTAGTTGATCCGAACCTTACCCTAAAGCTATTCACTTCGGTTAGCCTGATATGCAATAATTAGTTTGGATAAAATACCTTCTTTAGCTTTCAGTCATTTAATCTATAGTTGCAAACTAATCTCATGGTTTTAAAGAAGGTTAAATTTTCACAATAAACATTTGTTTTGTTTTCTCATCATCAAAATGTTCTTTTTAAAACATCTTTTTGTAAATTTTTTTGAAGTATGGATAGTTAATGTGGCAAAGAGTATTTATTTTTTTGTTAAAAACATTTTCTTACTTTTTTTAATCTGATGACAACCCTTTTTAATAAGAAATAGTCAGTGTTTATCTTTCGAGCTAGGATAACACTGCAACAACTTGAAACAAGTTTGTAGAGTCATGGTTATTTTAAATGATTTTATCTTTTTATCTTTGTCATTTATTAATCTCGTATATTTCTTTTTATATTCATTAAAACTTTATTCGGCAACAGAATGTGACATTTAGACTTATTTTAGTTTTTGCAAATATGAAACCGGATTGCGCAATTTTATCTTAAAAATGTGTTATGATATATTGATTGATGGAGCTTATAAATAAAGTACTGTGCAATTCATGAAAATCCGCGAAAAGAATTTTGACGGAAATAATGTTTCCGGTTGCATTGTGATACTGTATTTAATTAAACCAAGGCATGAAAAAGAATAAGTTGAATTGAGGATTATAAATCAAACTTTTTTATTACAGGAGTTGACAGATTTATTTAGACTGTCAGATTCGAGTTTTTTTGTGTAATTAATTCAATTTCTCTGTTATTAGGTCCAATCTGATATTTGAGAGCAATTATTTACATCTTTCCTCTCTCCCATCATACTAACAACTTACAGTAAATGTACAAGGAGTACGGGGTGGAGGAGTTACACTTTTTAGAATTATATTTTCTCTCTTTAACAACATTTCGTTTCTAAAAATTCGAAGTGCTTCATGTGGATTTTTTAAGAAAAAAAATTGGATTTTTTTTATTTGGCATAAATTTTTATCAAACTGTTTTCTGTTTAGTTATGGTGTATCCGCCGTAATAGGAGGAGAGGAAAGTGAACCAACTGCCTGGGAAGAGTTCAAAATACCACCACGAGGTGGCTCTGCACATCAACCCAAACTTACAGTCATAGATAACAAGAACGATACTATCAACCTGGTTATCAACCAGTCCCCTACCAACAACAAGTGTGAGGTAAGTTTTTTAAATGATTGAAAATTTATAAAAAAAAATTAATTGGGAATAGTAAAGGTTCTTGCCTCCTCTTCTAACTTCTGCAGATTAGAATTCTTAAATATTTGTTTTTTACTAAAAACTTTTGACTGTAATGAAAAGCTGAAAGTTTACTGTCTGGAAGTAATTTTTTGTTTTAATAAAGAAAGAGGATAAAGAGAGGAGGGGTGGGTAAGGGCCGGGGAGGTGAGTGTGGTGGTTGGGGAGGTGAGGGATACTTGTTAAAGGAAGCGTGATAGAACCTTTTAGTCCCTTGTGCCTTTAATCTGGGATGAAAGGATGAAGATTTACGAATATCAGAATATACGACGTCTTTCATCAATTTTCGAATGAAGTTTTTTTTAAATAAAAACTTCTCTAAAGATGATCCATGATTCAGCTGAGAAAACTGCAATAGTTTGCTATAAAGAATGACATTTGACACTGTTAAAGAAAGAATAGAAGTTAATTCAGTATAAAATAGATTTGATGTGCTTTATGAGAAAAGGAATACTATATTTCACATCTCAATGTGTTATTAATATATTCGGATATAAAAATATCAGTATTAATCATTAAAATAAAATTATATTAAAATCAAGACATAAACAGAATAAAGCTTTTTAAATAGATTATTTCGCGACATTGAATGCAGAGAGAAAGAGAGATAATAGATGGCATTTCGTTTTTGAACAATGATTTTTCATGTTTTTGTAGATTTTGTTGTTGATAGTTTTATAGTATTTGTTGAAGTAAATTGAGGAATTATTCTGAAAATTGATATTTTTAGATTGAAATTTACGAGATCAGATTCTCCAGTTTGAAGCAGGAAGAGCTACAGTTAAAGGAGATCCTACCAGAGAACACAGAGAACGGAAAGATCTCCTTAAACTTCCCTGGAGCATCAGGACCCGGATTGAACCTGGAAGGACGGATAAAGTTTACAGGATTTGAAGCTTTCAGTACCTGGATCCAGTCTAGTGATCCATCGGTAAGATTTTTTTGGTTTATTAACAAAAATACGAGCAAACATATGATATGCTTATATATTTTTAAAGGGACTGTAAGCGTAATTTCAATTGACCCTTTATACAAAGATGACAATGTCCGATTTACAACGGTACCCTTGAAACCCTGATCAGATAAAAAATGTGTAAGATGTCATTTTTCTGACTCATGAAGTGTTAAATTCTTTTAATTTCTCAATTGCTTCTTATAAGCAAGAAATGCAAAAGTCAACCGCAAATAAAAATTAACACTTTAAATAAACAAGAAATAGATATCTAATTCATACTTGATAAGACGAAGCTTTTACCTTCGTAAATCCGGCATTTTAGTCTTTGCCTGCAGCGTCCCTTGAAATTACGCTTACAGTCCCTTTAAGAGTTAGAAGAGACAAGAACTTGAATCCGTATGTTTGATGTATGGTTGAGAATTGAACCATTGTAGTATTTTGGTTTGGTTGACAGGTTTACTTACTCCGCTACTCCTGGTCCCAGTTTAAACACTGGAGAAAACCATTTGATCCTATCTACACAAAATTTGTCAACGGTCCGAACTCCATATTGGNGTTTTCAAGTTTTTTAAGTGGTTTTTTCCGTTTCTTTACATGTGGGACGGGCAGCAAATTTTGATAGATCATCAACGATATTTATGACAGGTTAAGAAATCATTAACATAAACGTTTTCATTTCATATTTCATTGATTTGTTCTAAATTTATGAAAAACACATTTTGTTTTAAATCCTAAAGAAGTCATTAGTCATTTTCTCTGTAGAAATGAGGGATGATTTTTTGTCAAATTGTAGTATTGGTTTTAGATGTTCGTAAGATTAGGTTGTTTAAGCTCTGCGCGTTCGTGAGTGGATTTATTGCGTGCGCGTGTTGAGTTTGTTAGTTTCATGTTTTTGCGTGTTTGTATTTTGCTACTTTTTGTTTTGATTTTCTATTCTAAACAAAAACAAGACAAAGGTCAACATTTTCATTTAAACAAAAATTGAGATTCCCCCAAGGAGCCTGGGAGAGGAAGCAAATAGGAGAAGAGTTTTTTAATTACCTCTTCTCTCTTCTTCCCCCTCCTTTCCCCTCCCCTCACTCTCTTCCCCATCCCCCTTTCTCCAGTCCTCTTTTTTCATTAAAATGGTCAATGTTTGATTTTAGAAGATATTCTAGGTTTAAAATTAAAAAAATGTTAATTATCTCTCAGGTCATTGCAAGATCATTACTCGCGTTAAGATTAATTATCATCCTGTCTGTTGGGTTGGTTCAGTATTTTGGAAAAACCGAAAATAATTTTCGTTTTTCTTTCAGATCCAGTCCCCCGAACCCTTGACAGGCAGCAGCATGCTAGTGCCCATCATCATCGGCATCCTGGTCGGTATTGTCGTCATCGTCGTCGTCGTCTTCTTCGTGGTTAAGCGGAAACGGAACCAGAACAAATACGACGCCGAGAAGGCTGTAGCAAGCAAGGATGAAACCCAGAAACTGAATGAGAGCCCTGATGTTTAGATCTCAACCAGTCATTTATTCATTCATTCAGAGCCTGCATATATACACAGTGTGTCCCAGTGATAATCTACACAGTGCCAAATATTTGGCAATTTGCAAACTCTGGGACAGGGTCCAAACATTAGATAAATAAAACATTGCAATGTTCTCTTTGAAGTCATGGTTCGCGCCATATTGCTGTAGCTGTGAAATGCACGATTCTCTACGTTGTGCGCATGCGCAGTTGTGCTAACGTTTATTAGCATATTTTTGCTTGAACAATTAACGCAGCACGCTCGTATAAATTTCGTTTTTGTGAAGAAATTAAGGCAGGCGTAGGTTACCCTAACCGGAAACGAGGGATGTTTCAAACCGGAAGTCACGTGTGATCTACAAGATTCGGGTTATATGAAAATTGCAGAGAAGTTTTTGTCGTCTCTACCAAACCACAGTTGATGTTGTAAACCCGAGAATTCGCAGAACAATTTTTCAAACTTGAAGCTAGCAGTGTTAAAGCACCCCTGGATGCAAACAATATTTATTGTTCAATTAGATAAAACAAATGATAATCGATATAAAGCCATTTTCCCTCAAATAAATCAAGATACTTTTGTTGCTGTAACACATAAAATATGTACATCAAAGTTTTTCTTCATGAGTTCGTACCTTAATCTCGTTCAATATCCGTCCTGACCGGGTTCAGGACGGATTAATCCTCATCTCCAGGTCTACCGCGGAACTGAAGAATTATTATTTTGTTTGTTATTGTTTATCCGGTTCATCTTTCAATCAATGTCGAGGTTTGTAAAATATGTAATATTTAATATAATAATAAACATTTTCTATAGTACTACTCTTATCTTAAATGTGAAGAGATCAGTGAACCAAACTCTATGTAAATTATAATTCATAAAATCATTCATTTATAGAAGAGTTTCTAAAATCACATGCTTCTCTTGTAGACAAAAAAAAACTACAATAATGCAATTAACACATATTTCTGTTATTGTCGTTTTTACATTTTGAAATGAGTAAATTTTCAAAATCTAAATTCGTCAACCATTGCACTGATATTGTTAATATTTTTTAAGCGATTTTTAAAAACTTTTAATAGAATTTCCAACATTTTAAAGCTGTATTTGATTTTTAATTTTGCAAAGTTTTTGCATAAAAGAAAAATGGGAAAAACGATGGTTCGATTTTTACATATTTTTTCTCCCGGGAAATTAGGCACAGTGGAAAAAAAATACAATTTTAGTCCCAGATTTTTGTTGAACATTTTAAAGTTCCAAAATGCTCAAAAAACTAAATAACTTATTGAACACACTTTCAGTTATCTTATTTCTTCTTTTACCGATATCTTAACGTTTTTTTATTAAAATATTGAACTGGGAAAGGAAAAAGGTTGGTTTAAACAAAATGTAAAATAAGCTTAAAAGTATGTATTCAAGGCATAAGACCTAATTTAATCCTAAAAATTGTAATATTTTAAAGTTAGACGGTTTTACAGTCTCACCCTGTATGATAATCAAATTTTACTGTTCACAACATTTTTCCGTTATTTTTATATTTAGTTGCAGGTCTGTTTATAGGTAGGGATGCGTAATGGAATCCATTAAATTTACAGCCTCAGGTTTATATCTGATTCAAAACTTGAGAACTCAAGTCAATATTTCACATATCAAGGTGTGATTGCTTTTTACAGGAATGTTATCAACATTGATAGCTTTTCAAATGGGTTTATAGGGCTTATCAGATTCAGTATAGGATCAAATGAAGTTATGAAGTTTTCAGACAAACAATCTTTAAAGTCTGATAATATGCAGGGTTACACAGAAAGGATGATACCGTTAATTTGAGTAACTTTGACTTTTTGATTTCGCGGAATTAATGGTTTTATGGTTTAACGGCAAGTAACGTTTAAAGTTTTCATTTTTAAGTTTTAATTGATTAATATACTTTGATACGTACGTTAAAAAGAGTAAAATTGTACAACATTTGAAGATTAGTCTGAAGTTTATAGAGTTTTCTTTAGTGTTCCCAAGTTTCCAAGAATAATCGTTTTGCAAAGGATTTAGTATAATATTAAATGAACTATGGTGGTTTTATAAAGCTGTTCAAGTGTCTTAAAATTAAAGATAAAGAAGCCTGGGATGCTCTAAAATATTCTCATTTTTGACAGGAATTATTTTTGCACTCGTATCAAATACTTTTAGTGCATATTTTAAGATTTGAATGATTTAGATTTCAACAAACATTCTGAGAAACATGTATTGGTTAATTTTCAAGTTCCATTTATATTTGGACACCCTGTCATATTTCTGCTCTCATTCGGATAGAGCAATAAGAGTATGATGTGTACGGCAAACTTTCTCTAAATCCTGAATATGAATAGAAGAAGATGGAGGATATTAAAGGTTTATCTACTCCGTGAGAACCTTAATATACCCAAAACCTTAGGTCAGAGTTCAGAATTCAAGTTTGCACGTCTCCGCGTGTGTGCCAAAACAGGACGTATATTTTGTGCACAATCCTAGGTAAAATTAATCCTGGAGAAACCAAAACATTCTGCTACATTTGTACAAAACTGTAAGTCAGTGGAAATACAATGAGTTTCTGGTCCGGAAGTAAAAATTTTGGAAAATCCCACCAAACAATTGGGTCCAATTTCTTTTGTGATTCACTTAATCCTAAGAAAGGTTTCTGGACTTTTGGAAATCCACCATCAAATGAAACAGAAAAATCTGAGATCAAATTTATGCATCATTACTGTTTCGACTATGTGACCTCATAGCTCCTCTAATTTTTATTTCAAGCATACGTATGAGAGAAGCTAATTTTTCAAGTTATATGTTATAAATTCAAAACATTTTTGTTTTTCTCAATAGATCTTTAATAAGAGAAGCAATTATTGAAAACATAAAAATTATAATATTGCGGTGAAATTTCCTTCATTTAGAATGGGAAACCTTCAACTCCGATTGCTTTATCTGAATATCCAATGTAGACACTTTTAATTTCATCATTAACCTGCTCTTTCTCTCTTTTTGGATATCCGTACTTTGTTTGACCAATGAAAATCCACTTATTAAATGGTGCGAAAAATTTCAAATTCCCGGCTTCTCTAATTGGCTGTTACGGTTTCTCGAAACGCCACTCTATTGGTTGAGTTATATACACTTAACACTTTTGTGGATACAATCTCAATTTGAGTTATAAAAACTTAACACTTTTGTGGATACAATCTCAAGTTGAGTTATATACACTTAACACTTTTGTGGATGCAATCTCATGTTGAGTTATATACACTTAACACTTTTGTGGATACAATCTCAAGTTGAGTTATATACACTTAACACTTTTGTGGATGCAATCTCAAGTTGAGTTATATACACTTAACACTTCTGTGGATACAATCTCAAGTTGAGTTATATAAACTTAATACTTTTGTGGATACAATCTCAAGTTGAGTTATATAAACTTAATACTTTTGTGGATACAATCTCAAGATTATACAAATCTTTCAAGATTAATAAAAAGAGAAGATCAAGCATTGATCTCGATATCCACAATCTTAAAGTTTTCAGTTTATGTAAATTATTATTAAAACGTGGCGAGAAGCGCCCATGGAAGCCTGGTGTTTGATAAGAAGAGTTGAGGAAAAGTACAATGTCTTGACTTTGACGTACATGTTGACAAATTGGAGGGAGAGCACTTTCAAAACATTGCTACTGGATATGATAAGAGTCATGTTTGATTGATTACGTAGATATAAAGATATCTAATATCAGACAATTTAACGAATAGATAGATAGATAAGATGGCTTATTACAGGGTTTCCTATAAAAGATGAAAATATAAAAACGACTTTATTATATTCTAACAGCTAAGTCATTAAAGTCCTAAATTTGGATATATATCAACCCTTTTTTTGTTGATAAATGTATCTTTAATTCGAAAATACTCAGTGTAGTGTAATAACACGAAAGATAACATTTTATGTTATTTTAAAAGTTTAACTGTTTGTAAACCCCCCCCCCCCCCCCTCCCTTGAAAAAGAAAGTTTTCACCATAAACAGAGAATAGATGGATAGATGAATAGTTAGCGAATCTAACTCAGTGGAAAATTCGAAACATTTAAACAATTCTTAAACTCTGCTCAGCCCCAACCCTTCCGCTGCTTTTCCATGACCTGCCTCAACCCCCTTTAATTTGTCTGTATCTCCGCAACCCTTCAACACTCAAACGACAGTTCCCGATTTCAGGGATTGAAAATAAATTCATTTGAATTTTTTTCATTTTTGAATACAGTTTAAATCAGTTTAAGGCAAATATCTCAAGACTATTTTTTTTTAATTTATTCTTTGTTCTTGACACGTCAAATCTAATCCGACGATATTTTTCCTTTTTTATAATATTCACAAATGCTGCGTCTTTGTTCCGTTGTGCATCTTTGTAATATTATAACTATGCATAACAAAACATATTTTTAATTTTCTCATGGGAGAGAACTCCGGATATACAAAATACTTGCATTCCAAGCATTTCAATCAACACATGTGAATCTTTAAACTGCAAGTACACATTGTTTATATGTCTATAGAGAGTAAAAAGAACTCCGTTAATCATGCCTTATTAATAACAGCATTCTTCGGCGCGTGAAATAATTTTTATATATGAATGTTATTAACATGCAGTTACTTATGCTGATTTTTAATTGTGATATGGATAATGGATATCTTAGTCTTCAAAGTATCTGGTTTAGGGCTTTTTCTTAAACTATCAAATTCTCAAACCGTCCAGAAATTCTAATTTCTGATTTTCCATTTTTCTAGTTTTTTATATGGTGCTCTGAAGGAAGTAACTTTTACAATACCATGAAATTTTTTAATACAATTACATCCAAAACACAATATTTTCGCACAACACCCATTAAGCCTAACCTAAATAACCTTTATGTCGGAAACACGGTAGGTCAGAAACCCTATAGGTCCGTTTCCTGAATACAAGTTGAGAAGGTATACCGTTGACAAAGAGCAAGGATATAATGAGAAGAAACATGATATTAAACCCGTCTTCTAATTTCTTCAATTATCTCTAATTGGCAATTAACCAAACTTATCTTTAGAAACAGAAACCTGGACACAGATTAAATGAAAATTATAGAGGTAGTTGAGTAACGCAGACGTATTTAAACCACTTCTTTTGAGCACCGGTTCAAGTTTAAGAGAAGTGGTTTAACTTAGTCTACGTAGTTTAACTATTTCTCGGTATCTATAAAATTTGGTCCCTGAAATACAACTTCAGATGATACAAATCAAGGTTGTTTAAATTGCTATGGAGACGACATTTCCAGTATATCAGAGCGCATCCAGAGTACCTAACCTTACGAAACAACCTTGACAAATAAACCAACGAGATGACAATCTTTGTTGTTATTGCTGCAACCACATATTCCTAAAGAATTTACGAATATTAAACTAGCCAGTGCATTTAATTTTCGTTCACGGCAAACTGAACAGAATGGAAATGCCACTTCAGTTTCAGTAGAATTAAATATTTCCATTTCCTGTAAAACGCCGATCAAAGTATTTATCTGTAATTGGATGATGAGCTAGATAGAAAGATAGATGCTACCGCCATACTATTTCTATTGGTTCAGAATAGACAACAAGCACATGATTGAACCCTGATTGGATCAGGAGCTAATGGACTCGGCATAAAGAAGTGAGGCAAAACCTATTCGACATCACTGGTGCGACTTTGTGACCTCGTAGCTCCTCTAGTTGGGATTTTAATTAATATTGAAAAGCTAATTTATCAAGTTACATAATAGTAATTTAAAACATA